GTAGGCGAACAGTCATCAATCGCGCGTTGATGCCATTTGCTTCGCCCACCAACCGACCATTTAGACGATCGGATAGTGCAAATCCGACCCCATGTTCACATGGTGCTGAGGTGGCGTTCCCCACCCACTAGAACATATAGTCAGCACCTGCTTCATGTTACTTACCTTGCCTAGCGAGCTCCAATTTGACCAGAGGCTGTCTGGCTTGTGACAGGTAGTAGCAAACCATTTAGCACACGGTGGTGCCCTCCTACCATCAGGACCAGTGCGTGACACTTGTGCTCTACGCCAACCGCGCTATGAGCTTAAAACCCGTAGACTTGTTGTTTCCTGTGGCTGCGTTTTAAGGGAAGAGAGCCATTGACCACTTCCTGTCCTCTGAAGAGGATTTGGTACGGACTAGTATGCTAGCAGGGCGCGCATACTTGACAGGAGAACGACTCGGGTCCTCATCCGAAGCCTAAGAATAAACGTACTCCCGAAAGGCAGTGGGTCTAGCACATGGCCAGTTCACTGACTCACGCGGATTTATGTGTGTCCTGGCTTTAGCTAAAAGAAGAGCGTAACCCAACTCCCACCCAGCGGTCGCCACGAGAAGACGTCCAGGATATGAGCCCACGGCACAACATTAGCAGCACTGGGTAGACAATCTGTCAGGATCTAGGTTTCACAAGTCTCAGTGCACCATAGGCTCACCCGTCTACAAACCTGCGTACCTATGTAAACTCGCAAATATGCGTTCACTAATATGGCTAACATGTATTTTTGTACATTTTACAGTGCAAGCCAGGTGCTCGCAGTCGTCAGGCCGTGAGTGACACACCGTGAGAGCAGCCGGTTGCCGTTCCCGCTATCGGTTTCAATGCCATACGGACCGATTACGTCCTTCCGAATCGCGGCATCACGCCCAACGCGCGCGGTGAAATCGCCCAGTGAGAATAGCCGGTCGCTCCTCGGTACAAACTGTATCACAAATTAGGTTGCGATCAATTTTGGTTGCTCACTCTGTTGTCATAGATGCAATCTTTTTGCACTTGACAGCTGTTCGTCCTGAATCGCGGATGCGGTCTGCAGAGGTTCTCATTCCCCAGATATGATATGCGTCAATGGCACTGTAGGCGCTTAACTCCTTTTGACTTATTTTTATCAAGTAGATACTTGACGAGCAGCATTAGTTGCTCGGAACGTATCGGTTCACTCTAAGGCGTACTCATTCTAACCTCCTACCGTCGGTACCTTGACTAGGTTAAGTGCAATCTGTTAAACAACCAAATGGTTATATATATATATATATATATATATATATATATATATATAGCGCCGTCGAAAACCATGAGGAACAAAATTTACAATAATACAAATGTCAGGGACAGCGAACAAATATTTTGGGCATTTTTGCTTTTTGGTTTTTACACTCTATTATGTTCTTTCTGACATTTTGAATGGTAGAGCTCCACTCACATTCAAAGTTGGAGTTGGAGAATCCGCAGCGTGATTGGGTTGCTACAAGCAACCTCTATTGAAACCTCGGTTCACTTGTGGTGAACACCGGTCATTCCGATCACAAGGACCGTATGTGAAATGGAAATATTTTGGTGTTACTCATCTCAACACTGGCACCCCACGACCGCGGTTTCGTCCTGCTTTGGACGAATTCGTTTCCGCTGTACCAAGCGTTGCTCACGGATCTCAGTGGCATAGTGTTTATGGCGTCAGCCGTGAACCACTTGGCTCTGATCTCCGCCCCAGCCCAGGCCATCTCCACCTGATGAGTCCAAACCAGGACGAAACCGCGATCGTGGGGTGCCAGTGTTGGGATGAGCAACACCAAAATATCTAACCACATTGTTCAAAACATCTCAATACACAGTTCTTTCTGTTTCGCGCCATATCGCCGTGTGTCGAGCCGTTGGTTATTGGACCCCTAACCAGGAAGACGTACAGGGCCGACGATGGCGAGACGGAAGGTCAGCGATTTTTGGTGTGCCGCTACATGCTTTGCTGACCTCCACACATTCTCTCCCACTTCCATTTCGTGCGAGCAAATAAGGCGGGCTCGCATGACATACGTTCAATGTGGCCAAGGCACCACAATTAACGCATGTTGACAACGCGAACACGCGAAAGGCTCATGTTTCCCAAGACTCGACGCCGGACTTCACCGTTGCGAACTTAGTGCAGCCACCACACATGGGCTATCCGCCGCAAACATGTGTTGTCGAAGACCAAAAGCCTTCGCATGTCATCCACACGAATCGGCCAGGACTCACGTTCGTACAACCGAACCGCGCGGACACAAAGCATTGTAAACCTTCGCCTTTAAAGAGAGGGATATGTCTCGACGATGCCACAAAGGACTCAGGTTGATAAATGCCGACCGGACTCTGGCGATGCGATAAGATACTTCTTTCCCAATAGTGCCATCAGCAGAGATACATCTTCCGAGGTAGACAGTTGTCTACATGTTCTAGCTGTGTTCTTTCAATAGTAAGTGTGGAGGCAGTCGACTTCCAGTCCTGGAGTGGCACTGTGCGTTTCAAGGGGGAAAAGCGCATATCATACTTAGACGCTTCAATCGCCAGACGTTTCACAAAGAGCTGTACACTCCGTGGATCGACCTGAGTAGAGCGATATCATCAGCATAATCTACGTCAGTCACGCAGTTCCCAGGACGACTCTCAACACCAAGATTTTTTGAGCATTCCAGCGATCTCAACAAGACGTCCTCAGTTGCAAAGTTGAATAGGAATGGAGACGAAGGGCATCCTTGTTGCACACCACTACACCATTTCCCGGCCAAGTTGTCCTCATTGGCAACAGAAATAATCTGAGGGGGCATTCAACATGACTCTACTCAATTAAATTGTTCCGTGCGTAGGAGCTGAAGTGTCCCACCTGCACCCCTATGACTTAGTGCGTCTAAGGTCCAATTGGCTGAAGGCGACGGGCTATACACGCACACCTACACTCCTGCACAAGTGATTGGCGTACGCACGGAACAAATTAATTGAGTGGACTCATGTTGAATGCCCCCTCAGATTATTTCTGTTGCCCAAGGGAACAACTTGGCCGGGAAATGGTATAGAGATGGCGAAGGGTGAGAAAAGCTTGCCATAGACCGTCACTCTATCAGACACTTGGGAGTAAAGCGCTCAAAGCATGGAAGTGTGCTTTTCGGGGACTTCATTTCTTAGCAAACGTCGTCATAAATCAGGCCGATCGACTGAGTCAAATGTGGCTCTATTGTCCAGGAAAACGACCATGGTTAGCCTGTAGTAGAGATGGCAGTGTTCAAGGATTTGGCCTAGTTGGAAGATTTGGTCCACGCATTCTCGGCCGGGCCGAAAGCCAACTTGTTCTTCGCGGTAAAACAACTCGCAGATCGGGGATAGTCTGTGGAGCAGAATGGAGGCCAGCAGTTTGGTATCCTCTGGCATCAGACTGATTTCCTTGTGAGTAGCACAGGATGTGCGAGCACCAAACAGAGTGGATACCACCGCTAGGTGTGAACGGGCTTCGCTCGCGTCGCGCGAAGAGCCAACCAAACATGAGACACAGCTGCGATGTGAGTGGCTTGCCAACTCGCGTGCGCATCGACCGAGGACCGTGCCTTGATGCGAATATAGGGCCAACTATGGTAAACTAGTCACGCCTTCACATTGGTTGTGTCTAAAACGCCAAAGATGTGGGGATCATAGTTTCCAATGTTAAAATATGTTTCACACATAACTAGACTCGTCCTTTCCATAGAATAAACACCTTCTACCGAAACTTGAATTTTGGTTTACTTGGTTGGATTGAGAGCTGGGCACAACGGATCGTTAGCAGCAGTACCGCAAACGAAACAGTAGAACACACCTTGCATAACCGGGTCGTGATATTCACTTTCTTTTATACTCATGAATACCGATTCTCTCCCCAATTGTGATCTTGTTTGTTTTGGTGGGGAGCGTACCAGGTTTACTCAGACGGCCGGCGCGATTGGGGTCTGGCTTTGTTCTCATCTGCACTCCTCTTCATTAACAGCCCTGACCAGAATTCGTGAAAGGGGGCCTCGCGACTGTCTGCAGCACTTTGATGACATAGGGAGCTGGTGAGTGGGGGCAGCCACACTGATGGTGTTTTATCTCTCCTTGCTACTCAGTTATCTTGGAGTACCTGTTTGTCCATTGACACAGGTACCCTAGCGCCTAATGCATGTTCACTGTCTGTACCTCTTTTGGTTTTGTTCCTCAGAATCACATGGCTGAACTTAATCTCTGATTGTCTCCAGGCTGTCTTGGATGGCTGTACCTGGGCGCACATGGTGTTCAGATACTCATGTACCCCCTTACTTCAGACTATCATACGTATTCGCACTCACCGAGTAGCGCTATCTCACGCCGAATTCATTCGTCACGTCACCCGACGTTTTCTAGCCTTACACCATCACAACAAACTTGTGGGAATGCAACGGGGGGTGGAAATTGACTATCCCGTCTACATACCCTTCCTTTAATTAGTATTTTTTCATTGCTTCTCTCACCACGGTAAGAACCCACTTCCTTCCGATATTGTTCACTGATCCCGCCTAGAAAGTCTTGGGCATCTAGTCGGCCATTGTGCGTTGTGGTGCTCATGATTAGACTTCTTTACTACCGTGAATGCATGTCTCATACTACTTCATCATGCATCAACTTGATCGGATGATGCTCATGAGTGTTGTTGCATGCTGCTTGAACGGTAAGCAGTGTACAATCGATAAGCCGATCATAGTTGTTCGCTTCCCCTTTTCTCTCTCTTATTGCCGGCCATTGTTGCTTGACACATATTTCAAGCATTAATTCTCGCATCTTGTGAAACTATGTACACATGTCTTCCAAACGATGTGCGAAATCTCGCCAACTATTGTCATTTAATCTGCGACACTACATGTCTTGCGTATACAGCAAACATTATTCGCCTTCAGTGGGTTTTTCACCGTGACTCATCCCAAACCTTGCATCTGTTCCACACCATAGTGCCTTACACCGATACCCTCCCAGCTGGCTTACGTATTTGCAAGCCGCCCGTTGTGGTTCGCTTCGACGTATCGCAATCGGAAGAGCCACCCGGAGTTCTTCTCCCCGGAGACATTCCTCGTTCGACTGAGCTCACGTCTCCAGATAACCGAAGACCCAAAAACACTACCCATCCATCTACTTTACTTTACGGCCTGTTGTACGTACCGGATGGAATCCCTCCTCCAGGTGGATTCCCCACAATCCATTTCGTGTATGGTGGCCCCGGAGTGCAGCTCGTACAAGGTTGCTACTCAAAAGTCATGTAAGTTAACGTCTCCCCTCACAATTTTTTCTTCAGTTTGTGGACATCCCAAAATAAGACGCCACTCTAAAAGTTTTACTGGATCGGTCTCCGCTTTGTATGTGATAGATTCCACATGTAACCCACTCTTGCTTGTTCATCATTATACACATTACCTAAATGTAATACATCTCAGCTACTGTATCGCAATGCATAAAAGAAAAAATAAGAAAAAAATATGCACAGTTGCATGCCAACTGAACTATCAGCAACTGATGGGCATCATTCCGGAAAGCTACATGCCGGCTACTAGGCGACAAAAAATTATTATGTAAAATTATGTTATGCTAAGTAATAAGATGGTGATTGGAGGGGGAGGCTAAAAGGGATGGGGAGAGACAAAGAAACGCACAGCAGCAACTCCACTGAGGTTGGTTCCTTACCATGTCAGCAGGTCTATCTAGCCAAACGTGTTCAACGTCTTTCGGACCCTAACCATGGAGCCGAGACGCTCCAACCGAGGCCAGATTCGAAGTGTGGGCCTTCATTCCTCTCGACCAAGTCATCGCTTGGCCACCCCTCCTCTTCTTCCATCCACACCCCTGGTGAGCAAACGACGCACGTCGCAGGAGCCGCTGGGCTGGCATGCGTAACACGTGGCCGAGCCATCGGAGCCTAGTGCGTGAAATGACGGTGCTGAGCGGCTCAGTACCTTTTTCTGTGCCGTAAAGAAGGCGTCGAACATGCTCGTTGCTCACGCGTTGTTCCCACCAGATGTAAATTGCGAAGGCACCGGTGGTCGAACGTAACTAATCTCTTTATGTCCGCTGATCTAAGGGACCAGGTTTCGCAACCGTACAGTAGTGTCCGACGTACCGCTGCATTGTACACTTTATTCTTCAGGGCGAGAATGATGTCACGCTTACACTATAGGTGGCCAAGGTTAGCAAAAGCGCCTCGAGCTTTTACTATACGGTTCGTGATCTTATCTTCAATCCAAAGGGGGCCAATACAACTTCCCAAGTACAAATAGAAATCGGGTGTTGCCCGCCCCAAAACACTGCACTGCTATGACGCGTTTCGATGTTATTACATCTCATCAGATAGATTTAGCAGGCATCGAACCCGGGACCATTGGGATGTTAGTTGTAACCGCTACGCCTAAGCCACCGGGTCACGACGGGCAACGCCTGGCACAACGGTCTAATGAACGATATTTGGGGTCATTTTTAAGGACACGTTGTGTGGATGGATTGCGACGCGCAATCTCAAGATTGACCGCGATTCCTATTGAAGGGAACCTTGCTCTTTCGATCACGAGGACTGTAGCTGATGCAAATAGAAATCGGATGTTGCCCGCCCGAAAACACTGCACTGCTATGACGCGTTTCGATGTTATTACATCTCATCAGATAGATTTAGAAGGCATCGAACCCGGGACCATTAGAATGGTAGTTGTGACCGCTACCCCTTAGACACCGGGTCACGACGGACAACACTTGGCACAACGGTCTAATGAAAGATGTTTAGTGTCATTATTTAAGTACACGTTGTGTGGATGGATTGCGATGCGTTACGGGGAACACGACAACGGTGGGCCGCCAATATGTGTGATGGTACTCCAACATTTGATGTAAAGTGAGGAGGTGGTCCATGCAGCCACAGCCTCGACGAAACCCGGCTTGCTCTTCACCAATTTGGCTTTCACTAGTGGCAGTCAGTCTTTGAAGGATCGGAGAGGTAAGTAATTTGGAGGCGATGGAGATCAGACTGATTCCCCTATGGTTGTCGCATTCAGAACGCGGGTCTCCTTTGAAGCTCGGAACAATAACGGAGCGGCTCCTGTCGGTTGGGACAATTTCCTGCTCCCACAGTTTCACTTGTAATTCGTGTAAATCTTTAACAAGGGTAGCGCCCCCGAACTTGAAGAAGGCTGGATGAAGATCATCTGGTCCCGCGGCTTTGTTCAACTTCAGCAGTCCGATCTCACGTTCGACTTCTGAGCGAGAGGGTGGATCCAAAGGGACAGCCCACGGAGCAGGGCGATCACTGGCCGGTGAGGAATCGAACAATTCCGGCCGATTAAATTGCTTTTCAAATGCTCAGCCCAACGCTCCAAACGTTTTGACAAATTGTGGATAGGCTGTCCACTCTCGTCATAAATTGTTTCACTAACACCAGGTCTCCTGCTGCCCGTTTCCCGTATCAGACGGAATAACTTACGATGGTTACCAAGGGCAGCGGCCACTTCCATCTCTGACGCACGATGAGACCACCAGGATTCGCGGTCTCTCTTCAGGCTAGCACGGAGTTTTGCCCGGAGCTCTTTGCGAGTTTCATTGTGTTCGCTTCCAGCCGGAATATGCCGGCGAGCATCGATAAGTTCCAGAGACCGCGAAGAGACCCAATGTCCATGTTGGCTATTAGACTTACCACATGAGGATTTGTCTGCTGCAAATAACGTCTAGTGAACATGCGACTTGTGACTATCAATTGTCTCCAGTGAGCCCTTACTCAACCGCATGTCAGCGTATTTCGATATGCATTCAGAATAGCTGGTTTCCCTGGTTGACTGGTGTTCATGCGCTCACAGCGTCGTCGTGGGCGTCCAAAACGTATCCGCATGTCAGCACGTACTAATGCATGGTCGGTGTCCACACATGTACTCCAAATCGAGCGATAGTTCTGGATGCAGCCTCTCCGGCGGTAACTGATTGCAATGTGATCGATTTGCCTCCACGGCTTGTTGGCGCCAAGTCACCCTCCGGCGGGTGCTGTGTCGAAAGTTAATGCCCGCAAGAAATAGGCGGGCATCTTCGCGCAAATGAAGAAACTGCTCACCGTTATCATTACATGAGCCTACACTGTGTTGACCGCCCAGATGCAGTTCATCAGTGGATAACTTTTCAACTTGTGCGTTCAGATCTCCCGCCTGCACAACTATCTCCGTGCTTCTTCTGTGGTGAAGGAGCTGGGTCAGTTGGCGGTAGAAGTCGTTCTTTACCGAATCATCGCTACAGTTTGTGGGCGCGTAGGCAGCGATGATGAATAGACACCTATTAGTCCCGCGCGACTTCGAAACCTTGAACGAGCCAGCCAATCAGACCGCACACATCAGGCTACTGATTGGGATCCAATCAAGTAGAGCAGCTTCAGCCCGGGGACTCAGGGCAATGCCCACACCAGCTTGGCCGGTGCTCGAAGCTGCATCGTCACCGAATAGGCGCAATGAGAAAATACTGCGGGTGTCACCTGAAGGGGATCGCAGAGTGAGCACAGAGCTCGAGCCTTGCAGGCGGGTCTCCGATAAGCAGCAGATATCGATCGAGATGGTCTCCAATGTTCGGGCAAGTATTGCCTGTTGACCGATCTGTAGTAATGTGCGTACGTTGAGGCATGCCAATCTGAAGGAGGATCGAGGGCTCCAAATGCAAGCTGATGAACAGAGGTGGACCGCTTGCTTGTACATGGGCTTGTCGACAGTACAGGAATGACGCTCCGCGTTTGCATGTGGGTTAAAGCTAGAAGATAAGCTTCTAGCAAAGCATGTTGGGAGAGCGCCAAGAGTCGGGGGTTGAAAACTGGGGAGATATAAGTGAAGTTGGAACGGGACCGTAATGGTTAAAAGGTGTACGAGGGGGAATAAGAAGACTGGAAGGTTTGAGCAGTAGCATCCAAACCTCTATCCACCCTGCTTGCTGCAGCAGATAGGGCGCCGTTTATTACCCTCTGCGATTGCCAGCACATCAAGAGATTGTTAGAATAAAGGTTCATTGTTTTGCATGGACAGGATACTGTCAACTTGCCCAGGCCTAGACGGGAGAATGATTAGGGTACTCAAGCAAAGCCTTTGGTTCAAAAACGTGACCGCAATGCGGAGGGTTTGGCGTTGGGCTACAAGGAATTCGTTTTAAGGAATAAGGAGCCACCCTCATTCCAACCCCTAACCTGGAGGACGAGGAGGCTGTGTTTGTCTGGCCTTTAACCATTGGCCAATCTGGTATGAGTGGCTCTGAAGGTGCAAGAAAGCATCACTCAGCACAGCTCAGTGGATCTCTGAGGTACGCGAACCATCACATCACGGTAAGGTCTAGCCTCATTGTGTTGGGGATCTACTTCACATGGTAAACGCACGTTTTGAAATTACTACTTTTCACATTACGCCATCAGATGAAAAATTACGGCTTCCATTTGGCAGAGGTCATTTATCCCACACGGCTGATCTGGCACATGCAGATGGAATATTGACATGCTGTCCAGTTAAAGATTGCGCCCGCTAGGTAGGACACCTGACGTCCAATCCACCTCAAAGGGCCACCGTTGTGAGGTAGGCGAAACAGTCTCTCTTCTGACCAACTGCCCATGATGTGACTGAGCTGAGCAGCCTACTTCCTTCGAGTGCGATAAACGGAGGAAGCTTGCCCTAGTGTGTGTGTGTTTTATTAATCGGTTTCGGTCCACTAGCTTTACAGGGCGGTTAGGGTGATTGACATGATATGCACACGAGATCTGAAGGGCTTGACTGCCAACACAACCATAGCATTTCACCCGAATAAGGGACAGTCATTTCCACAGGTAACGTATACAGCATCCGAAGTCCCCAGTGTGCAGCGTAACTATCACAATTGTCAAACCGAAGGGTTGGAAAATGTATGCATATGTCACACAGGTGACTGTCGATAAAACTATTTGGGATTATCATGTGAGAACGCGCGGAGTCAAGTTCCATGTCAACATGTTTTCTTCTGCTGTCTTCGGGAAACACCATAATACGATGTTGCACACGTAGAGTTTAGACTCTGCACAAAGAAGGCGTGAGAAATGGTCCCGCCGTTATCGTTAGAAATTACTTTTTCCCTAACTGTATGGGAGTACCCGCAAAGAAATAAAGGGGGAATCAATTAAGAACTGTGTCTCGGGTGACGAAAGCAAGCATAATTCGTCAGGTTACCACACTTTTTTGGCAATCCGTTTATAATACTGTGCACTTGGCCAAATTGGCCTTATGTTGCAGGCCGCTGCAACGGAGGCGCTTTTTCCTGGACCCCCGTGATTTGGTTGACAAGCGATAGATTTTGGCAACTTTCTGTGTCTGTTTGTGGGGAGAAACATCGCGATTTCTCAGGAGCATTTTTTCTGAGACGAGCGATTTTCGCAGCCCTATCCAAACTCGATGTTGCACCGTCTTCAGACAGTAAACATTATCGTATTTGCCTGTTTGTTATTCCACCAATCCCCCATTGTAGTCGCATACCACTTCGGCTCCGTCTTTCGGTATGTTTGGCTGCTCACATAGAGCATGCATCGGGAATAAGGCAATGTACAGTGTACTTTCCTGATATTTTCCGATGGTTACCGTGTCAGTTGGCCAATTTGAATAGAGCCCGTGAGACATGTACACGCTTGCGATGCTTTGATGAAATATCTGGAGGTTCGAGCTACAACGCGTCACCTCTCCTCACTGATCAGATGTCTGAACATTCCATTTTATGGCATTTCCTATGGTTAGAAACCGCGGGGCTAGATCCACTTAGTTTATAAACGTTATCTATCACTGTGTTCAGGCACTTTCAGTAGCACTCGCAGTCTGATCATACCAGTAAACTGTGGAAAGATGTAAGGGCAACTGAATGACTGGACTTCTATACTTGATCTACCTTTGCGTGTTTTTCCATGCTTCGATTACCCGCCAATGTTTTTCTTATCCACATACATCAGTCGGCGAGTCAGATATCACGGATTTTGTGGGTCCCTATCTTCTTTCTTTTGAATTGACACACTTTGTTGCTGGCATCACGATACCAGGCTAAGTGCCACAAAAAGGTGTTCGTTTTCCTTTCACATACTTTTTCCGCAGGTTTCGGATTTTTGTACACAATCCGAGGTTCATTGGTTGTTACTGCCATTACACACAAGTCGCCGAACTAATGGTGTAATTTTGGGGGGAATGAGTAACAAATAAACTCGCCAAATGAGGTTGTTAGAGGTGAGAAATTATGGAAACCGTGCAAAAGCTTCGCTGCCCGAGTAATTACGCCGATTCCCATCTGCGCTGACAATAGGTGCAAACCCAACTCAGCCTTTTGATGAGCTTCTTCATGTTCATCAGACGTGTCCTTGACTGATCACGCTGTCACTTCACCGGACTAAGTACAGTGTTGGAAAATAACATGCGCCAAGGCCCCCGCTTCGCTGGCATGCGGCGGCACCCATGTTCGAGCTGTTGAAAGCGATTCGCGTTCAACAGACATTCACAAGAAGACATGTACCTAACTATATTCCATTTTCTTTGCTTTACCCCTGGTTTCGTAACACCTACCGGCTCCGCTTACCGTGTTTTCTCCCCACCCCTTCTTCTCTCTCCTAAAGGTTGATGCACGCGCTCCTCTATTGTCACTTTGGTTACGCCCTGTTTTTCTGTGATTGCCGCGGTTCTGCCAATCGGGGCATCGAGTTTGCGGGATACATTAAAAACCGACTGGTGAGTTTTTGTGCATCCCTTTTCCTCACTTTGAAAGGTTATCTCGACCGTTGCCACTGCGACCCCCATCGCTCACAGTTTAGTTTGTTGAATACACAAGGCATTTTCAGCGCATGGTGATTTGTGATGTTTCATGCCACCATAACCGGAAAAAAGGTGATCCTTAACAAACTAAACGGTAAGCGAAATCCAAAGGGGTCAATATAAACAAGTACTTACGGCAGTACCCTTGCCAAGAAGATAGTTTATAGTCGGGCGCAAGTACCCAATACAAAAGCACCAGTGACCCTAGAACTGGTTGGATTTGTCCCTGCATGAAAGTCAATGTCTAGCGGCTAAACTTTTCCGTTCGCATCTTTATGCACTTTTGTCATATCACCGCGTGGACGCTCTGCAGGTACTTCCAACTTAGCGCAGCAGCTGTTGCACGCATCATCATCACTATCATCATTCTCATCGTCGTCATCACCATCATCATCCTAATCATCATTCTAATCGTCGTCATCATAATCATTATCATCCTTATCTTCGTCATCATCCTCATCATTGCTCATCATCATCACCACCATCATCATCATTCTCATCGTCGTCATCATAATCATAATCATCATCCTCCTTCTCATCGTCATCATCATTCTCGTCGTCGTCGTCGTCATCATCATCATCATCATGAGTCATCCTCCTCATCACCAATCTTCACCATCACCATCAACATCAACTTTGCGTCATTTCTTCTTGTTTTCGCTTCACTGCCACACAGACATGAATTAAAGTGGTTGAAGTCATCAATACACAGTGGGAAAGCGGACGAATGGGCCTATGCTGTTACTTAAGCGCATTAAATAAGTGTCTTGGATTAAGTCGCCTGCAACTTGCCACCCGAAACGCAGCTGGTGTTTGTTGCGAAATATGCTCCATACTATCTCACAAGGCAGACCACGTGAACCTCAGCCTGTAAAAGGAGACGCGGCGCCTAATCCATCCAACTTAAGGTTTACCTATAATGACGCACTTGACATATATGTCTTCCCCATCGCAACTTAATCACCACTAGGTTAGTGCGCTGTTGAAACGAATCAGTAAAATTTCAAAAGTAATCATCCTGCTCATCAGTAAGTAACTGTTCAGTCTAATTTGTTACTCTAGCGCCCTAACCTCATTTTCATGCCTTTCCGTTTTGAAATCCCTGCTGCTCTTCTCTATGATCATTGCTCGGTTGACAACGAAGGGCTTTGAGATACCCAAACCGAGGAGTTCAAATGTCACCACCGTAGGAGAACGACTTTCATTGTGATCCTATACATATGACAACAACAATCGATAAAAATCCCATTCTGGTGCCGATGTCACGTGTTAGTAATGACAGTTCCAAGCACGTCCTTGTGTATGATATTTTAGACACTTGTTCGCCCTTCCCTGGGGATGCATCTACCGATATAGCTTAGTTACTCAACCGTTTCAATTTCTACGTCATCGGTAGTCAAAAGACTATCAGCATTTTGTGGTACTGTAACGACGCTTTAAAGGTTCAAGACACAGGAACGACCCCGGAGATTTTATCACAATCCGATTGTATTATCTATCAATTGTCGAACGGCACTTCGGATTCCTCAAAATGGTCCAGACCCCCTGGTTTTTCCCCCAACAGAATTTCGATGTCAGCATCAGGAAAGTGCGCGAAGTAGCGCACCAGTGTGAAGTCACGAGGAAATTGAATGCAATCGTAGAAATGAAACAATTCCAGTGATTAGCATTTGCTCTTCGAAAGGCATCCGGTAATTCGCCTTGGATTTTGCTGCGACAATAGTTATTCGAGTGTTGGGTACTTACTGTGTTTACGTATCACATGGGAATACCTTCCGTGATCAAGTATACCCAAATTGACGCCATAATTCAACTGAGCGGAGCGCTGTCTTCAAACTGAGCAACACTGATGTAGCCAGCCTGTGCTGTGTGTCACTGTTGTAATTCCTAACGCAGAGGGAAAACATATTATACACTTCCTATGACAGAAACGTGCCTTTCCCCTCCTCTCAAATACCCGTCGCTGGACAAGACTGTAGACTAACATACCGGCTTCTGTTGACACCAAACTGTGATGCTTTTGGTTGATGCGGAATTCACGACTACATTAGGATCCACTTGTCCTAATATTTTGTTGCAATCTCTTCATTCTGTGCGTTTGTTCAGATAGATCAGTTCTATACTGGTGACCACATCTAACCGTCCAAAAATAGCGCGGACACGAGAAAATCCCTTCTAGCAGCGCAATGACCATCGAGGGGTGTCGCGGTGTTCTGAATGTCGGTTCCCGACGAGGTCTCTGAGTAACCCGACCCTTGTTCAACTTGTGCAACTTAATCATGAAGGCGATTTAGAAATGAGGAATTAACTGAATTTCCCAAAAATCTAGCCGACATTTCCTGATTTTGAATTAATGCCCCGGTGTTGATGCAAAAACAGTTCCCTCATAGCGTAAATCGACTAGTTAATTCTCGGTTCGCTATTTTGTGATCTAGCGAAATTCGCCTTAACTGAGGAGTAGCTAACGAACAGTAAGCTTGTGTTCGAACATATGTGGAATTGTGTTCCTTCCTTGTTGCACATGTTGGCACACACACACACACACACACCATGAATGAGGTGACTTATGTCTGCATCATTCACTCTAGCCTCTTACATGAACTAACATGAGCGGACACGAGCAACCCAATAAAACTGTCCATAACTCGAACCTTCCAACTTGTAAATGAGTCCGTGTTTTACTCATACGTCTTTAATATTGGATGCAGGCAACATAGAAGCCCAATAGTGGGAGCTTTAAATAGGTTGAGAATAGGGCTTGGGCATCAAGCCTTCTAACAATCCGGTTTTATGCTATCGCATGGAACCAAATGAGAGGAAAAAACGTAATACTGGGGACATAGGGAATGGGTGAGGCAGCAAATAGTTCTGTCTCTTATCACCATTGTGGAATGCATATGGTATTCTGGTCGGTCCTCTTCAATATGCCTCTGATTGTGGTAAATCCGATGTAAGAATTGCGATAAGTTACGATGTTGTGAATTTGTTAATTCGGTCACAACCCACGTGGTAAAATGCACCATTCCCTGTGGGCGATAGAGGTCTGTGCCGTATCGTCGATATTTGTTCACGAAATAGCTTGCACGCACAAATTCGTGCTTTTCTGGGGCTGCGTGCCTGTTAAGTGACCTAAACAGCCTATCCGGGTCACCGCAGCATCCGTTATCTAATTCCCATTCGAATTGCCGCCGTTTACCATTCCATCTTATATTTCTCCACATTTCTGTTTTGTCGTATCGCTACCTTCTTTACTAAGTATTCGTCAGTGGCAGCAGTACAACGCGCACCTGTATCAATCGATTGAACAAACCTAGCTTGGTTATTATCCCAACATTCAAACACCGACTTGACCCATTCCGCTGTTCCTTATACTGCCTGTGGCTTTTTTATTCCTGTGTTTCATCTCCACCAAGTCACTCGTAACGCATCGTTATTCCCTTAGTTCTGCATCCACTTTTACCCCTTGCTTCCCTCCCAGGGTGTTGTCGAGCTCCATGATCATGTTCACTTCCTGCGACACGTGGCCTGGAACACGGGGCTTATCAACCTGGATCGCGTGGCCATCACCGGTTACTCCTACGGTACGTTCGATTTGCATCACACAGCTCTCTGGCACTGAGACGGATGACGTGTGTCCACTCCGCTCTAATCCGCGTGGTAGTTTGCTTTTCATCAGCCAATCGCTTGCTCTTCGGCAACCTCACTTTATCCGTTTAAATTTCGCGAAGTGAATTTGCAGGTGCTTTTTCCGGTATTATTTTGATAATACCCATACACACTAGCTATATCTCTGATTTGTTCACTTACGTCTGCAGCATAGCATCGTTGCACACTCTGTCTTTCGCCGACAACTTCATGTTTCGATGCCCCACTAGTAGAGTGTAGGCCTATTTGTTTGGTTTCTCTCTGAAGATGGCACCATTGCTCCCACCGATTGTTCCGCGGTGCTGTCTTCCATCATTATATCACCATTATACACGTTAGCCGCAGATGCAAACACCTCAGCTATTGTACCCCAATACAAAAGAAAATACCTGAAACAGTGGTACGCTGGCGGAGTCACCAGTAACGGATGGACATGGTTCCGGAGAGCTAACCGCTGGCTACTGTGCCGCAAAAAGTCCTCTTATGCCTAAGAATTGAGATTGTGGTTGGAGGGGTAGGCTAGGCAGGAGGGGGGTGGCAAAGAAACTCAGCACGAATGTCACTGAGGTCGGCTACTAGGCATGTCAACATTTGTATCCAACCAAACGTGTTCATCGTCCTTCGGTCCCCAACCAGGGAGCCGAGAGGCTCCAACCAAGGCGAACTTTGTACTAAGGGCCTGTCTTTCACCTCACTATCCTACACGAATTACTCTTGTCTTGCGCTGCACGTGGTTCAACCTAGATCATCAGTCTACAGAGAGCATTTTATGGAGGGCTCTTGATATTGACGAGATGTCATGTAATGATGATGCTTGTTTGCATCTGCGAATTGTGCTATCCTGACAACAACCATGGAAAGTCTAGGATTTGAACTGATGTAGCTTATACTTCATTCCAAATCTCTGGTTATTCAGTTGAAAACTGCTGCCAACTTCACTTCCGACCGTGCACCACATCTTTCAAAGTAGATGTCCCATTTCATAGTGTTTTCTTCGGCATCTACTCTCGATATCAGATCGGGTAACAAGCAGTACATACTCTCTCACTCCCAACCATCTTGTACTGTGTATGTGATCATCTCTGATGCGTCCGCGACCAGAGTGAAACCAAGTCTGTTCTTCCCGCTGTAGGGGTTCGCGCGTTTTGAATAATGTGCAAAGTATGATGAACACCATAAGGTTGCAAACAACAGGAACCAAACTTATACCCCTGTAATTGGATCATATTGTGTGCAGGCCATTTTTGAAGACGGGTATGATTATTTATCAATCCCAAGAGAACGGAACCTCTTTTGCGTAGATGTATGAGAACAAAGCGGTTAGCTCTCGAATAACCATAATCTTTAACTTGAGCGGGAGGTAGGTCATCGGGTGCTTCTAGAGGCGGAGTTATTGCACTGTTTCCTGATGTGGTGACGGATCTGTGTGGATAGGCCACTCAGTACCATTCCTCGCTCTGGGAGATGCAGCTGGGTTGGCGGCCAACAATATTGCGAGCTACATAGTCAGCCCATCACTCCAATCGTCGTTGAAGATGAGTGATTTAGTCGCCATCCTGTCCATAGCTTTTTTCGTTTACATTAGATCGGTATCCGTCGTGGACTGTGATGAGATGGAAGGGTTTTCTGATATTACCAGAGGATAGTAAGTTACATCTCTCTAATGTCTTCACACCACTAGGCTTCACAGCCCTTTGGTAAACTGCTGCGCAGTTCTCGATCCAGAGATCAGCGTTCCCCAATATGATTGACGTCTTCCGAGGTCGAACCGCGTCTGTCCATCAGCGATAAGGAGATGGTGGGATCTAGCTCTTCGGCGGTTGACGGCCAACTTCACAACTTCCATTGCTGACAGAAACTGAACCTTCGTTGGTGTGAATTCTTATCGTAGAATCTGAACTAAACGGTGTTGACACCTAGACTTGCTACTTGATTAGCATAGTAAGGTTCTGTAGATTTGTGACCGGTCGGGAGTGCGTACGCCTAGGTGATCCTTTGAAATGCATGCAAACATTAGCGCAAGCAATGTATGACCAGAGTTCAAACATCTTGACCAGTACGATCGGCAATTTGTTGCTCTTCCGCGCCTCTGTAGCCTATTATTATGTCTTCAAACCGGGACCACCCTTGCACTTGAGAAGGCGAGGTACCAGCCAGCTCTGTACCTTTAACTGTCAAAAACTGGTGCTATACAGACACAAGCGATACTCAGAACAGAGTCAGTAGTCTATCTCCATTGTCTGATCGACTGCTATCGAAGCTAAAACTACCACCAAAATGGTACTCGCTTGATGGCAGGCGGACCGCTGATGTGCTAAACTTTCCGGAGGAGGAACGCGAAAGGTTGGTAAAAGCAATCCTTAACTGCATCCGGACTGCTGTCTGTAGGAGCCTAGGCGTAGGCGACAAATGAGTCACCCGTAACATTTCGACACTTATTTAACGCTTGGTGGTGACCAGCTAGAAGTCCTCCAGAAATTCTAGATCCAGGCAGCTATATCAGCGTCATTGGAACGGAAGACGAGATCATGAGTCGTGTAACAATGCGCTGGTTGCTTTTGCCAATCTCCGCTACCTGTGACGTAGGTGAGATATCACTCTCGTCCAGAAGGGCAGAGTTTTCAATGCAGTCGTACGTTCAACCTTACTGTACGGTTGCAAAACCTGGCCCATCCAGTCGGCAGTCACAAAGAGTCTTTTTACGTTCGACCATCGCTGCCTTCGCAGCTTAGCTCATGTCTGGGGGAACACCGCATGAGCAATGCGCGTGTTCGGCGACGTGTATTTGGTGTAGGAAAAGCGTGTGAACCGCTTGGCACCATTATATCGCGCACCAGACTCCGGTGGCTGGGCTAGGTGTTGCGCATGCCAGCACACCGACTCCCTCATCGTGCGTTGTTCGCGTGCCGGGGGTTTGAATGAAAAATGAGATGGGGTGGCCACGCTATGACTTGGTCAAGAGAAATGAAGGCCTTCACTTCGAACTTTGCTTCGTTTGGTAGCCCTCTACTGCCTTACTGGGGCCCGGGGGACAATGTACAGGTATATTTCTCAAAAGTGCGAAAATGTTCCTAACTTAGGAACAGATCATGGCAACGAGCCGACCTCATTGACGTTTACGTTGTGAGTTTCTTTCTCCCTCCTCGTTCCGCTTATCTTCCTTCCTCAACCACATTCTTACTCGGCGCATAATATGCTAATACATATTATGTTACTGGTTGATTTTTTGTATTCTGTTATGTTTTATTTCTTGTTTTTCATTTATCTTATCTTTTTTATTGTGGTACATTGGTTGAAATGTTCCTTATCTTCAGCTAGTGTCTAATGATGACCCAGCTCGTCTTCTTTATCCTTTTTACTTTGTCAACCTCCTTACGAACTTCGCTCTTTTACTTACCACTTCTCTCTTCATAACACATGGTCGTTGAATTTTTGTGCTTGTTGCATGTAGCCAAATGGATACTATTTGTAATCAAAACTTGGTCTGATCTCCACAACCCCAAACGATTTAATCTCGACGGTGCGAGACACGCTTTCAAGGCACGATCAGGGTACTACGAGCGCGTAACATCAGTAATGATACAAAAATGTTGTGATTTAACCAGTACAACAGGATATATCTATGTATGTGTTATCTATATGTGGTTGCATGTGTAGTGAATCGTGTTGTGTTAATTTGTTAGTATTACTGTGAATTTGTGAGTTTGTTCGGTGAATGCGCCAATATAGAAAGGGATCAGATGAAATTTTTGAGGTAGTTGGCGTTCGCGAAACGTGTAAAATCCTCTGCTATGGCAAAGCATTGACTTTATTTAGTGACGAGTCATGTTCGCCACCTCACTGTTGTTAAACGGACATTTGTGGCTTTTTATAGGGAGAATGTTTGCCAGACGAAAGCCTACCTCGTCCTGAAACACTGCCGCCGAAGTATTAGCTGGACCGGGATTAACCCGAATCACCCAGCTGACACCGCGTGGAGGTTGTTCGGCCAGCCAGCCTGCTGCGTCTATTACCTACATAACTTACAATCCGGCCTTAACTGAACGATAGTGGCGTCTGTGTTCATTTTGACGGCAGATTTTAATAGAATATGTGGAATTGCGCATTTGTGGGTTGACCACATTGAAATTGTGGTGCACTACTTATGACTAGTATGGATATCAACGAGGGCGCACAAGGGAAACAGGTAAATTATGAGATGCCAGCAGAAGGTGTAGTGGAAAATCAACCGGACGAGGGGCACGAGGCAATCTAGATAGATGCTCGGTGAATGAAAGGTTGCAACGGCGCATCGCCCCGGAAAGTTGCCGCGAATGTCATGCGCAAAGTGGACTCGCGTTCCTATGTTCGAGTTATTATGTTAGCCAGGCATGCGTACTTTAAGGAACAACTTGCCCGCCCCTCGGGTTCTCAACATTTGGTGCAGTGACCAACCAAGTGTGAAATGAAGATTCCGTAGCCGGAGCCCTTTGAGGATGGCGATGTACGGAAGTTTTTGGAGCACTTCGAGGATGTCGCAGAGGCAATCGGGGTGAAGCAGGACCGGGCGAAGTTGGCTGCCATGCGGAGCCTCCTCAAAGGCGAAGGTTATTCTGGATACGGCACGAAGGGGCCCTGTCAAGTTGGAATGGGCCGCCGCGAAGGAGACACTGATTGCGGGGTTCGACAGCCCGGCCGACCGCCAAGATGCGATGCGGCGTTTCCACGCGGGTCGGCTTGGAGCGGGAGCGGAGCCGTTCGTCTTCGTGGTCCACAGTGAATTGCTGGCCCGGGCGCTACCTAACTTGGATGACGGGTCAAGACAACAACTGTTGGTGGAACAGTTTTTGGATGCTGTCCCTCCGACGGTAGCCTATCGCCTCCGGATTGTAAACGCCACCCAGAGAACTAGCGTGATGGAGTTTGCCCAAGTAGCGAGGGAGCTTACACATGAAGCAGTTGCTGCGTTGACAACGGAAGACAAAGCAAAGGAGGAGCGATTGAACGAGTTAGAAGAGGGACTGGAACAGATTACGCAAGACATCGGGACACTTCGAGTTCCCTCACAGAAGATACGGCTGAAGGGACCCTGCTTCATTTGTGGGAAACGGACACTGGAAGCGCTAATGTCCGTCGAATCTCAGTGCAGCTTTCGTACGAAATAAATGCTACCAATCGTACTGTTCGCGTGTTGGGGAGTGCATCCTTGGGGCGTTGAATAAAGGTGCGATTGTGGTAATGGTAGAGGTAAAAGTGGTGAGGTATCTGATTGATACAGCAGCCGCAGTTTCCGTAATTAGTCACAGAGATGGGGTGTTCCATGGTTGTGAAGGCGGTCGGTGGTTACCATATACGCATAGATGATATGGCGGAATATGTGGTTTGCGTTAAGGCTCGGAAGTTAAAACATTTCATCGTGTCACCGGACACAAAGCAGACCCTCCTGGGTGCTGACTTTCTTCAAGTCAGTGAAGCAATCGTCGATCTGGTTACAAAATACTGAGCTATCCAGCTTGTTGACAGAGAAGAACCCATGAGGATGTGCTCGACCGTGGCCGTTTTACACACAAGTCCAGCCCTTCAATCGCTTGTGAGAAAGTACCCTATCCTATTCAAGGACGATATTAGTCCTTATGGATTTTGTGACTGGGTCGGACACACAATTCCACTATCCCATCAGCCGTATCGGCCGCACGGACCCACAAGAGTGCCAATCCATCTGGAAGCTGAGGTCAGAAGGCAGATTCAGGAGATGTTGAATGCAGACGTAATAGTAAAGGCTCACAGCCCATATAACTCTCCAGTGGTTTGGGTGAATAAAGTCAATGGGAAGTACCGTTTTTGCGTGGGTTTCAGAACGCTGAACGAAATATTCGTGAGTCGATTCGTCCCGGTGCCTTCAGTTGCGGACATTTTTGATAAACTGCAGAAGTCAAGAATATTTACGGTACTGTATCTGAGGTCTGGCAGCTGGCGATCAAACAAGAGGACCGAGAGAAGACAGCGTTTACAGTCGGTAACAAACAGTACCAGTTTAAATGGATGCCGTTTGGATTATTTGGTGCCCCTTTTACCTTCCGGCATTTGATGCTGCGATTACTGGATGGATTAGAGAATTTGACCTTATACGGCTACGACATCGTTGTGTATAGTGAATCGGAGACAGAACACTACCGTCATCTAGAAGCAATGCTGCAAAAAGATTCAGCAGTCTGGATTATGGATAAATGGACTGAAATCTCAACTCGGGAACACGCCTTTCATACTGCTTGATCATAAGGTGGGTCGGCCTGAACTTAAGCCGCTGCCGGAGAAAATATTGGCAATTCGAGGCACCTGTTCCGACCTCAAAGCACAGTCTCCAGGCATTTTTGGGCCGTGCTGGATATTACAGTAAATTTGTCAGGAATTTTAACAGCTTGACGTCACCTTTGTATGAGCTGTTAGGGGAATGAATGAAGTTCACTTGGACGCCAGAGGCTCAGCGAACATTTGATGACATTCACAAGGAGATGGGCAGACAGCAACTGACTACAATTGCCCATCTCCGGGGAAACGTTCACTGCGGCCACAGACGCAAGCGACGTCGGAATCGGTACGGTGCTGAAGTAGAAGCAAGGCACGTTGGAATACGCTAGTAGGATTTTGACCCCATCAGAACGCAAGTATTCGACAGTAAAGAGGGAGTGTCTGGCAATTGTGTGGGCTCTAGACAAGTGGCGACCGTATTTGTTAGGTCAACGGTTTCACATCGAAACCGATCACCAATCATTGGAATGGATTAGGTCCTCCAGAGACTCCAGAGGCAAGTTGGTGCGATGGGCGCTGCACCTGCAAGAATACGACTTTACAATAAACCACATACCGGGGAAGAAACACGAGACGGCAGATTTTCTATCATGCATGACGAACGACGAGGATTTGCCGAGTGTTGCCTTCGGTGTCGGTGGTCTAGTGCTGGAGCAGGACTCGAGTAAGTTAGCGGCTGAACAACGGAAGCACAGACTTTTGAACAGAGTGATAGCAGCACGAATAACAAACCAAACTGCTACAACAAAAAACCAGAGCCAGCAATTCAGGCCATTCGCACGGGGTCTGGCAAAGCTGCATGTCAGCGATGCTACGCCGGTGCCGGTGATCCCCCTCAAATTGAGGAAAAGTTGGTTATTTCGTGTCACCGGATGGCTCACACCGGGTACACCAGGACATATGATTTGTATAGACAGCGAACTTACTGGCGGAACATGAGGAAAGACGTCGGTGCGTACGTGCTCTCGTGTCAGCAGTGTCCGCTTCTGAAAGGAGACAATCAAGCGGCACCACAACCTATATTGTCGATTCCAGTGTCCGGGATCGGTGAGCTGTGGTAAATCTACGTAATGTGACCGTTCCCATTAACCAGACAAGGCAATCAGTACATAGTCGTGATGACGGAGCACTTTACCCCATGGATTGGGGCGGCTGCGATTCCTGATCAACGCGCTGGCACGATAACACATGCCGTGATGAAACACGTGATAGCGAGTCACGGGATCCCGCAAACCATACTGACAGACCAGGGCCCATGTTTGAAAGTGATGAATTTCAGGCGTTTGGAGAAACTGGGCATCAAGAAAATACGGACCACTTCCTACCCTCCTCAGACAAAGGGATTAACGGAGAGGAATAATAGAACGCTTAAAGAATGGTTGGCGGCGAAAGGGAGAGATTGGGAAGAAGCCTTACCACTACTGTTGCTAGCACACCTAGCGTCCATGCAAGCAAGCACCAAGAGATCCTCATTCCAGTTAATGTACGGCCGCAAACCACGACTTCCGGTAGATTTGGAGATAAGAGTTTGGCACGGAACGGCAGGAAGTTAGCCAACGGAAATCTGAACGCAACTCAGAACCGGCGGATGGAGAGCTTCCGAGTCAACATGAGAAAACCGTCCATGGATTTCCCAGTCGGTTCGAAGGTGAAATACAGAGACCACCAATGTGGGACTGCATATGGTCCCGGAGAGAGGGAACTCCTGCCGAAGTGGAAAGGACTTTATGAAGTAATCGGCCGAAGAGGGCCCGTATACACCATCGCTCGGCAGGGAGATAGGCGGCGAGTCCACGCCAGCGAATTGCAGAAATGGTGTGTACGAGCAGAGGAAACGACAACATGCATGGAACAACGAACATCGGAGAAATTACGTACGAGATCGTCTGTCGCGAACACTTTGGAGGGGGAGGAGTGTGGTGCTTTACTTATGAGTGTTATGGATATCAACGAGGGCGCACAAGGGAAACAGGTAAATCATGAGATGCCAGCAGACGAATGTGTGTTGGGAAATCAACTGGACGACGTACAAGAGGGGCACGAGGCAATCTAGACAGATGCTCGGTGAATGAAAGGTTGCAACGGCGCATCGCCGCGGATGTCATGCGCAAAGTGGACTCGCGTTTCTTTGTTCAAGTTATTATGTTAACCTGACATGCGTAAACAACTCCCCTCGTTGCGTTCTCAACAAAATCACCCACCCCATGGACCCGGCTGCCTGTCGAATGAGTCCGAATCCCCCCTTCATGTTAACGACAGCGCTTCATATTCTCCGCTCCGAATAGATCAACATCTTGTCAGTATTGTTTGCTCGCGTTGTTGTACTTTAGTGGAACAATGAACTCGGCGTTGTCCAGCCTAAGCACCAGATAGCACTTCTGTGGGTAATTTGTTTCTCTGTTTAGACTGGCTGCTCTCTCTTCAGATCGGAAACAGTTACCAGACAAACACTACTATATAGGATGCCGCATAGCGCTAGCTACATTCTTCAGTATATGCTTCGCTTCTTCAAATGACTGCTATCGGCCGACGATTGTCTTACTCATGAAGAACCAGTCGAAGTGGCCGAATGGCTTACTTATTTGGGTAGCTATATGCTGAGTCGTCTATTTTGTAGTAAAAAGGTTGCAGGTTCGAATTTGGATATGCGCTAGCAGCTTGGTCGTATCCCTATCCCACATGCTTTAGTGGTGGTGGTGGTTACGTGACAGCGAAGCGTCGGTGCAACGCGCCGGCGTACTGCTCACGCCTTATCCCTTCTGGTGGTTACTTCACCAAGGCGACTACCTCACGCATTACACATGCGTCTATGGCTTTTCTACAACTCCGTCACTTTTGCGACGGCGAAATACTGGCCACTAGAAGGGTTCACTACGCTGTGGTGCGGTCGGCTTTACTGTACTGGTCAGAGATCTTGCCGGCACGCACTGAGGACTTTAGGAAACCGACCTTTCTGAACATCACTACCCGCGCCGTGTTGCTCATGTGCGTTGGCAGAACCGAAGCGCGAACACTGTAGTTCACCATTTTACGTTTTCAACAGTCCCTCTGGTGCATCCGTAGGGAGGAGTGCCTTTTAAACTCGAGTCGCATACCCGGGTTCGTTCACTTGTGCTTTGCTTACCTACCAACTAGCTGCTTCTCTTTGCATTATTTGCCACCATTGGGCCCATTTGGGTAATTCCATGAGGCGACTAACCAATGGCTACGGAAGAATCTCACCTCACCAAAACGGCCGTCGACCACACCAATCGTTAGGCGCTTCTTGTTATATGGCGAAATCTCCGTGGCCAGTGTTGTCATTCCGTTCGTTCACTTGTTTCCGGCTACTGATTGTTCCTTCTGGGGATTTTATTTATTTCGTATTGGTATTCTTTTAGATTTAGGACAGGATAACTTGCTCCACTTTGGTTCGAAGGTCTTAACTGATAAACTGAACTGAAACGGGCTACTCCAAGCTTGCTTATTTGATTATCATCGTAACAGCGTTCCTTCATTTCCCACATTTTCTACTACAGTACTTATTCATTTTTGAAGTGTTTAGGGTTTCATCTTCACTCTATATCTCTCATTCATTCTATCTGTTGCAGGGGGCTACTTGAGTTTGATGGCCGCGATGCGTTATCACCACGTGTATCGCGCTGCGATAGCGGGCTCGCCAGTGGTCGACTGGATCTTTTACGACACAGCCTACACCGAACGGTATTTAGGTCTTCCAATGGACAATCCTAACAGTTACTGGTATGGAACGTTTCTTGCACGAATTGTCACTGTCATCGTTTTTGTGCGTGTATTTTTGTCTTGGCGTGAGGCGTTCACTGTACTGGCGATGGTTGTCCTCGTTTTGATGCTGGTCACAAAGACTAGTGTCATTAAACAAACAAACATTTGTTAAAAACTGTCTTTGAGACAGAAATATTACAGAAATCTTCTATGTCACTGATCACTGACCCAGACTACGGCCGTTGGTTATTGTTACCCAAACAACACCCGTGCTTATCTTGCACCGGTTCGTAGCACAGTGGGAAGATCCCATTACTGCGACGGATTGTGCTCCCGAATCCTGCCGCATTGGTTTCTGCCTCTGCGTCAAACTGCACCGCTAAAGCATGTGATGTGAATAGATTCAAACGGATACTCTCGAATGTAGGCTTGCTTTTCCCGTGTACCCCTCTACAGTTCATGATGTGCTGATTGAGCTCCTACCTACCGCATATATGGTCAACATAGATTTCATTTATCATAGCTTGCTGGTTTAGCTCGCTGGATCTTGAGGGAGAATCACAGGGTCCTACCCAGCGGTATCCGGTAGATACGCCCTTTTGACGAGTCCCAATAAGACGAAATGATCATCTATCTCATCTACCATAGTCAAACGGTGCATATCGATGTGAGTGACCGAAGGTAATACGAAAAACGGGGGTGAATACCATTTCAAAGGTGGGTCAAATGGCCTGTCTTCTAACACAAAGTGGTGGACGTTTACCCTGTTCATTGATACTTACATCAGTTATTGGCATTTCTGTGTAAGCGCACACAGTTGTCAGAATGATCATTATTTGCTTCATTAAGCTGCCATGTGAATGTGTGCTCTGAACTTTAATGTTAGACACACTTCATCGTTGTTCATATTTTTGAAGTCTACTTAGATGATTGACTCTTTAAAAAGTAGCTAGGGCCGCACAGTAGCGCTCACTGACCTATATCCTTTCTAGTTATGACGTGCTTATCTAGGTGACTAGCCCAATCCATCATTTCGCGAACCTGATAGTTTAAATCGTAACGTGTTGACTTGATTCCTTAACAGTGTCCGAAACCGTTCGATCCAGGAACAATTTGATAAAATGTAGGAATAGAGCGACGCTGATACACTGGACAGGTTATTTTGAAGGGGCGCGGACTGCCGTGACATACATGCTAACTGCGACATATCGCGGCTTCTCCTCCGCTGTCATACAAGTGATGAACATTACAGTGGACTGAACTGGCCCCAAGGATTATGTCTTTCCGTAAGGTACTCTATACAACATAGCATTTAGCAGCTGTTAGGGTGAATGTTTTGGTGTTCGCAGACGTTCCCTATGCACCACTGTTATAACTTGCTGAGTAGTGGCGCAAGCCGCTAGTTTTCATACAAGTGGCAGCTACATTATCAATTACCCTTCAACTAGCCGGATCGCTAACTTCTTGAGGTTGAAGAGTGGCGGAGTCTGCAATATGCCAGATTCGTGTTCGCCGGGTGTGGACTTATTTTCCACCAGTTTCTGAAACTATCCCGTTGACTAAGTGTTACACTGAGCCAATACCGTGGACAGGATGATCAAGTGTCACGATAACTGATCATCGCTTGCATCTTGATGCCATTTGTAACCAATGTCATTGCCTGTCGTGCAAGTGTGAAATACTGCCAAGCAGCCGGATTATGTACGGCACATATATCTCTCAACGCGACTTAGGTGCGCAACAATCGGTTACTTCAACTTTATAGCGCCTGTCGAAATGATTCTATGTTGTTAAACGTGGTACTGACAAAACATTAGATACAGACGAGCGAAATTTTGAAGCCATTACTACCATCTATCTGAGCTCAGGAAATGTATCTTGCGAATGCGCAAATCCCTCACAATTGGTGTTTCCAAACTGCAGCCATGCGAACATCGCAACCTTATACACTACCCACTCTGAAGAGATCTTCAACGCACAAGGATACTTAAATAATAATACCGCCGTTCACATTCACTATATGGTGCATTCCCTAGCTCGCATCCTTGATCCTTGGGTTCAAAATCACACGGCAAACTTATTTGGCTGTGACTCGTTATACCAACCCAATCGTTATTCAAATCCCTACTTTCGTTCTACTTTGTGGGAATCGCTTCCTTGGACACAGAAACACAGGCCCACATAGTGCATCAGCCACTGACAATGTACCTGGTAGGAACTGAAGCGTCCCACCTGCACACCTATGGCTTGGTGCGTCTGAGGTCCTATTGCTTGAAGGCGCCGGGCGATATACGCACACCTACACAATTGCACAAGTGAGTGGCGCACGCATGGCTCAAAGTAATTGAGTAAAGACTCATCTTTTATGCCCCTCAGCGCAACTCCGTTGCCGTTCAGATTAATTATGTTGCCCAAGGGGACAGTTTGACCGAGGAATGGTGTAGATATAAACTATGCATGTTGTGTTCACCTTTCGGAGATGGAGCACACATCAACTCACGAATAGCGTTATTTATCGCCTGGTCTCGTCTTGAATGGTCTTGTTGAGTGAAGCGACGTGGAAGAGTATCCAGACTATGAGTGCTCACTTATTTCCTTCAGTGACATCAGTTGCGGGGCCATTGGCGATTTTCTGTCTATAATCCCCCAAAGAAAAACCACGCAAATGTCTCTGGCGATTTGTTTCGATGTGCCGATAATGATCTGTAGCTATCTAGTTTGGGAAACAAGGTTTTGTTCACAAGTACGAACCTCCAGCTTTTATTCCATGTGTCTGGGATTGTGAGCTGTAAGCTCCATCTCCCCGCTGCGTACACTACATTGGTAATCCTCTACCGTTTTTACTATCGTCGAAACTTGATCAATCGTTGGGAAGCTCTCGGCCAACTCCCCATCACGTTGTTGCTTACACACAAGTTGTTTTTTCCGCGCTCGTACTTCTACGAATATTATACTGGTTGTCCTCAGCTTTTGAAGTCTAATCCATTTATTAAATGTACAGGAGACATTGGTACTCAGTCCCGTTTTTGTCCCACACGGTTTCTTGTTGCTCTGGCGGTTCCTTGCGCTCACTGTTGCTATACAGTTGAACACCCCTTATCATTCCCACATTGTCTATTTCAACTGAAACGCTTACGATATCTATGTTTCACATAGCATGGTGTTAGTTCGTACGATGTTATCTTGCTCTTTTGTTGTTGCTGCTGCTACCGGTATTATTGTTTCCGGTAGCGATTTAGTCAAGCAACTATTTCTTCTCATTTGTATTCGCAACGCGTACGCTCATTGGGCAGCATTTTCTATCATGAGTTTTTCTGGGTTCCACATCAGGGGTTCGACATTCTTGTTTTCTGTTTCTTGCCGTTTTCGGAGTACCTTGGTGTTGAACTTCCACGACTAATTCCTCTTGATGTTGCTTACTCTGAATCTCGGCAGACTGATGTCCAATTGCCTGTCTACATCATTAACTGTTTTTCTGTTGGAATCCACTTTGTCTATGTTCCACTAATTCCCCTTTCGTTTATAGATGCATTTCGTAAGGGGACTGTGTCCCGCTTTTTTGACAGATTCTTTTTTAATCGTTTCAGTGTGGCTTACTTCGTTACTACTTTTTGGTTTTCCGATAACCGTGGTCCATACATGGCGTAGCACGTTTGTTCACTCTACCGGAACGATTAAGATGGCGATCTGCCCTTTCCATCCTCCAACTTTGTCTTTCTCTGCTTGTTGCCTCCCCCCCCCCCGCTTAGGAGTGGCAACGTCGTGCGGTATGTGGACCAGATGCCCGCTGATATTGTTCGATTGCTTATTTGCCACGGGGGTCAAGACGAGAATGTGCATTTCGAACACACAGCCCGTTTACTCCAGAAACTGGAAACCGGTGGAAAACCATTCAAACTGCTAGTAAGTTGATACGTCTCGTCTTCCACCCCTTTGGACTTGATTTAGCTAAGTTCGGTGTGACAGTGCTCGGTTGAGGTCCGATCGGGGACATTGTGCGAGCCGCTTCTCGCAGCGACTATCTACACAACCTTGCTTAGCTCCATTGTTTAATATAACTTGCTCCGTACGCATACTTAAGGCTAAATTTTCCTACTCTCATTTACAGCGAAGCGCATCATTTCACGTCTTCTACTGTTTTCGACATATGCTTTTCATAATTCGTCACGACCACGTCTCTTGCGGTTACCTTACAAAATGTCCCCATGTCAACTCACAACCTGTGGCGAAAATGCTGATGACGTCGGTGTTTGCACGAACTGGTTTTCACGCCACTGGGGCTATCAGTAATTGCCGATTATGAAATTCACCAACTCGCTGGTATTTATTCATTATTAAAATCACGAAGGGAAGACGAACGCCTGTGGTTGCATTCATTTCGCTTTTTTCCCCCTCAGTCTCAACAACAACCTATATGCATAGATATAACTAGCGTTAGGTGCGACCAGATATACTTCGGATGCAGAGTGAATGATGGAAATTCACGCCCACGACTAGGGCGATCCTATGCTGAAAAATACTTGTTTTTGAAAACACCGATCTGGCCTTATCCCGCTTGTTGTGACAGCTTGAGTAAACCGAAGGAAGCGAGGTTTAGCTTGACACAACATAACGTTGAACGTTGAGATCAGCTCTGTCCGCTGACTCGGGATTAGGTGTTCGCCTAATGAGGAAGCCGACGGCCTACCCGAGCACAGAAGTTGAGGGGAGCAGGGGATCTTGGCAATTTTACTCTGAACCAATCTCGACGCATGTTTCTTCATTCGGGAAGTCAGATTTCTATACGTTTCTCCTCTGTAGCTGACTCAACAGTCAACTACGGATTGGTATACGCGGTGTGAATTAACCCCGATAGGCTGATCTTCCTTAGTTGGAGTTTCGGGTGAATTTCGCGTTAGTTTAATAACGACGATTTGTGCAATGCGCTGCTTCCTTTCGTAGCGGAGATCATACGCTCAGTTGTATTCAGCGTGATAACTTCACCCTTGAAGGGCAACTCCATACACACCTGCTTCTTGGTTGCCGAGTGCACCATGTCCTTCGGGCCTCGCTGTTGGCTGGGTTTCTCTATAAATCTGCGAGGATAACTATTCACTGTGAGTTTAGTTGTAATTAACTTTAGCTCATCGGCCGAGAGAATTCGCCTAGCACGCATAACCAGAGCCTTCGGAATTGTCCCCTTGTACCCCACTAATGTGAAGCTGATGAAGTGCAGGTAATGGCCGGTCCAAGTTGCTTTTCGCAAATCAACTGAACCAAACCGAGTTTCTATTACTTACCTATATCTGGTCGGTTCATTTTCCGATCTTTTGCCCGCCGTTAAATCGTTGGGATGTGGGACACATTTGCTTCATTTGTCCTTACAACCACTCATATAACTACTGGAACGGAGACCCGCATTTAGTGTACAATCATTCATCCCAACAGGAGTTGCATATGACGTTATTTTTGCAACTTCCCTGATGTACCACACAACTAGAAACGCTGTCCGCTTACGATTGCTGTAGTAAAATGATACAATCGCTTATGAATCTTACTGGATTCCTTCGGAGTTCCTTTACTTTTCATATCTTGTCTCCAATAACATACAACAAGTCTCTTAGCCATTGCCACACCTCTGTTGAGGCCTTAGCATCGGCGCGACATATGCACAAAATCGTGCCCCACCGATCTTTTCTGTGCATCTTGATCCTGTACCATACATTCATTACTCTCTCTCTCTCTCTGCGTCAGCTGTGTCTGACATTGCGAGATGCAGTGTTCTATGCCCGAAACTCCTCTTGATTTTCATCCTTTGATACACTTTTGTATTTTGCCATGCTTCACACTCTTTCGGACACGACTTGTTCCTTTGAGGCTATTAAACTGTGTGTGTATGTGTATATATATATATATATATATATATATATATATGTGTGTGTGTGTGTGTGATCTGATCGGCACGTTCAGATTGCAGTTTTCCAGTTTTTATTAGCCGCCACATAGAAGCCACTCTGGATACATTATCCGACCTATTGAGCCACTTGACTTTTCCAACATCTTGTCCGGTCTTCATTTCGTAAGTGAAAGCGCTCTCTCTGATTACTTCGTATGCGACGTCTTCGTGACAACAACTGGCACTTTGACCATCAAATTTCACGTAATTCGCTACTGTCTTGTGAAGTGGCCCACGTGAAGCCATTCCCATACCAAGATGTTTATTTGGAACTTTGTGTTGCTGATGCGTCTGTTGTCACCATCGTCTCGTTCTGTTACTTCGCCTACTCCTTTTGTTATGTTTGCTTGCATGGTTATATATATATATATATATATATATATATATATATATATATATATATATGGTTGGCGGCATCCGATTTCGGATTTGCCTGTCACTGTGGCCAGCCACAGGACGCCTGTGGCTACAGAGGGATCATGGGTGGCTTGCGCTGCACCACCCACAGCTCCAACCACACACCCCATATCCACTGTAAACCCGAAGGAATAAGACCGGGAGGCATGTAGATGGGAGCCACGTTTCATCAACGGAGCCGGCCCACACTCCTTCACAGGCAAACACAAGCACGCTGTATTTGGGAAATCAAGCGCACACAAGGCGGTGGCTGGACCGTAGTCCGCTCCACACTGAGTGCATGGAACCGCTCTTTGAGCCTAGCACGGCCACAACGACCGTGCACCCCGTCCCCTCCAGCAACGACCAACTGTCTCCTGGATCCAGTATGAACGAGGTAGTGGGTAATAGACAGGTAAACACCTTGTCAACATGCACATCAAGCGCAGCCACACCGGGGATATCAAACAACAGCCATTCACTTTAAACGACAAGGTGACATAAAATAAATCCACTAATGCTTACAGATACGGTGGCATAACTCTTCGCTAAATTACCATATGAAGTAAGTTGGTTAGCAACAAATCCGTGATAAGTAAGAAATGTCCACAAGTTACTTAAAATGCTACAAAGGCAAAACAAAATTACCGAAGATAAGCGCAATTAGTGTAAGCAACGTGGCCAGTTAATAGAACATTATTGAGATAGGCAGAACAAACCAAATAAAGTGAAAAGAAACTTATCCAGCTTAAAAAGACTTAGTTTAAGTGTAAGTTGATTTAGTCCAACTGCGGTGAAGAAGCATCAAGAATGCAAAATCAGCCTCAGCATGGGGCACGGTATATATATATATATATATATATATATATATATATATATATATATATATATATATAGGCTCTGCCAATGATTACGAAGGGTATAAATGTCAGCGGAACCTCTGCAACAGTGCGAAAAAGAACAAACGCCGACACTTTGAAGTGCAGCTCGCATTAGCCGCGAAGACCGCCCCAAAGAGAATCTTTGCATACGTGAAGCGACGCCTGAAGCCGGCAGGTGATGTGCCAGTGCTGTATGGCACGGATGGACAGCCCCTAACCTCCAGCACTGAGCGTGCGTCCGCGTTGGCGGCGCACTTCGCTTCTGTATTTGCGAATAACCAGGTGTCTGTTCCGAGTTCGACGTGTACCGCTTTTACCGAACTCGATAGTCTGCAATGCGGCGTTGAAGAGGTAGCTCAACTACTCGCTAACCTTGACGGCACCAAACCTGCCGGACCTGATGGACTTCACCCACTGGTTCTCAAGTCACTTTCAACCATCCTCTCTCCTGTCGTGACTGAACTTTTCAACAGGTCGCTGTCCGAAGGTTCGTTGCCGGTTGACTGGAAATGTGCGGTGGTGAAGCCTCTTCCGAAAGGCGGCGACCTTAGCAAAGTAGACAATTACAGGCCAATTTGTCTGACACCTATATTGGCAAAGGTTGCTGAGAAAATCGTGAAGAAGAGATTGCTGCAGTTGCTACAGTCAAACGAGGTCCTGACGCCCGCACAGCACGATTTTATGCAAGGTCGCTCATGCATTACGAACCTGCTTGTGACGGGACATGAGTGGTTGAAGGCAGTAAACAAGGGGAAGTCCGTCGACGTGATATTCATCGATTTCAGTAAAGCGTTCGACAATGTCAGCCATGAGGTTCTCCTTCACAAACTCAGCATGTGTGGTGTCGGTGGCTCTCTGCACCGGTGGATCAGCGACTTTCTTGTTGGACGAAAGTGGAGAGTACAGGTCGACGACCATCTAACTGACTGGTACCCCTCTACAAGTGGCGTGCCTCAAGGCACTGTGCTGGGGCCCACTCTGTTCCTGATCCACATCAATGATCTACCGCAGCTTCTCCGGTCGCCGTGTGCCTTGTTTGCGGACGACATGAAGATTTGGAGAGAAATCGACGCTCCCGATGACTGTGGCCTACTTCAGCAAGATCTTAACCGCTTATGCACATGGTCTGCAGAAGTTCTTCTCCCGGTCAACCCAGCCAAGTCCGTATTTATGAGCCTGGGGAAGGGTGCAAACGGCCGAACCTACACTCTTGACGGCCAAACGCTATATCTCACACCCTCCGTGAAGGACCTAGGTGTACTCTCACGCTACGATTTGAAGTCCGTGGACAACACGAACAGGTTATATCGGAACGGACTGCGCATGCTTTGGGCGCTCAAACGTAGCTTCTCCACATGGTCTGAAGAGGTTGCCACTCGCCTGTTCTCTCCTATTATTAGACCAATGCTAGAGTACGGTTCGCCCGCCTACTTTCCGATTACCCGAGGCGAGGCACAAAAGATCGAACGGGTCCAACACGTTGCTACCAGGCTCATCCCGAGTTTACGTGGTTTTGGTTATGAAGACTGGTGCGAGAAACTAGGGCTCTACACTTTATCCTACCGTCGGGTGCGAGTCGACCTCATTATGACCTACCGAATTCTACATCTTGGTGAGTTCCCCATGCTAAGGCCAATACTGCACTTACGAGGACCATGCAGTACACGCGGACACAGATACAAACTTGTCGT